ACCATCCCATATCCGTTTTGTGCCCTTATCAAGGCTTTCTCTTTAATTTGGGTCTGATTCAAGATTTGTGTTTGGTTTGGGTTTACTGGCATGTTAGAGCTACTTCCGCCATTCTTTCCAGGTGTTGAGATTTTCAAACCAAAATTTTCCATCGACTTCTGCTCCCAGATCTGGTGTTGCACCACCTAGGTTGTGCAAACTTTGAGGTTGTTCAGCCTTTGGGCATGATAATCTGAGTGTCATTGCTTAGGTTGACCTTTTTTGGAGGCCCGTTGCTTGAGGTTTCTTGGACCCTCCGGTGTCTTTTCATCTGTTGCGGGACTTGCTGATGGTGTTGGTCTTATTGGTGCTTGTCATTGCAAGTTAACTTGTCTCAGAATGGTCCTATCCCTTCATCGGAATATGCCGGCTTGTGGTTCCCTTCTCGATTTTTTTTTTTTTTTTTAGTTTCTGATTAGTTTAGTTTAATATAGTTTATCTTAGTTTAGTCATGTTGTCTCACCTAGTGAGTGTTGTGGCAACCCGTAACGTTGGCTGGATATAGTTTTCATATTGAGCGATGTGTTATTTGGTCTCATCTACCTACGATAACTTTATGTGGTCTCGCTCCTGAAATGACTTTGCGTGGCCTAGCTATTTGACGATGACCCTTTGTAGTTGCTAATACAAATTTGTTATATCTATCATTCCGAGACAATTTTGTATGGTGATGTGTGAAGTTTTTGCACATGTGGTGGCCGTTTAGGGGTTTTATTATTGTTGTCTTGCTGAGCAAATTCACCTCCAGATCATTGTTTGATCACTGAAGTATTGTACCCAATGGCACCTATGTACTATTTGAGATGATGAATGAAATACTAATCTATCATTGCTTGTAAAGAAAAAAAAAAAACTAAATGGAAATAAGGATTTCACAGGAAGGAAAATAAATGGCAACCAACCACTTGCTTATATAATAGAGTACAAGAAGTAGGCCTGGCAATTCTTGACACGATCCGATAATCTGACATGACACGAAATTAACAGGTTTTCGGGTCGACACGATAACGAATCGGGTCGTTATCGGGTAATCTGATAAGCACCTGTTAAGATAACGGGTTATTCGGGTATACACATGGGTAACACGATACACGATAAGCAAAATATTATTTTTATAATTTTATAACCCAAAAAAAAATAATGTAATAATTATATATATTAATTTAACAATTTATACCCCTAAAAACTATAATAAACATATATATATATATATATATTAAATTAACTATAATAATTATATATACTATAATAATTATACCCCCAAAATATTAACTATCTATAATAATTATTTATATATATATATATATTAAATTTTATAAAAACTATAATAATTATTAATTAATATGCATCCATTGATTTGATTCCATAATTGATAATTCCATTCCATTCCTTGCCCTTTTTGAAGAAAAAGGGAGGGAAAATGAAAATGATAAGAAAAGTTGAAAAGGAAACAAAAAAAAGAGGGAAAAATGAAAATTAATAGAAGTGGTGAGATTTTATTTTTTTTAAATTATTAACTTTTTATCACACATATGACATATCTCACTATTTTTATAATGACACACGTGATGTATTACTCCATGTACCAGTCAATTATATGTACAAAATAAATAGATTTAAATCTACTTAATAAATAAATATATATATACACACACACACCCCATTGAACTTGATGGGATACGAATTCTCCAAAACTAATTTCAACGATCCCAACCGTTAAACTTGTTTGTATATGCTTCGAGATCACATCAGCAAAAAATTGCAAAAAAAAAAAAAACATTCAGAGATCAAGTAACGAGACAAAGCTTTTCGACGATTATAAACGAAAAAACACGATTTAACGGTTATCTTAACTTCGATTTTAATGATTTTTTACAGCTACACTCCTTGACCCTATATGAATACAATGAATGAATTCGATCTTCAATTTAAAATATTTACACAAGTGGATACCACAAAATCTTATGTTATACTTGATGAAAGTATAAATAAACTCTAAGTGTTAGTCAATCTATTGTTTTTATGGGATATGAATTCTCCGAAACTAATTTCAATGATCCCAACCGTCAAATTTGTTTATATATGCTTTGAGATTACATCAGCAAAAAGTCACAAAAAACAAACATTCAGAGATCAAGTAACGGGACAAAGTTTTTCGACGGTTATAAACGAAAAATCACGATTTAACGGTTATTTTAACTTCAATTTTGATGATTTTTTACAGCTACACTCCTTGACCCTATATGAATATAATGAATGAATTCGATCTTCAATTTAAAATATTTACACAAGTGGATAGCATAAAATCTTATGTTATACTTAATGAAAATATAAATAATGTCTAAGTGTTAGTCAATCTATCATTTTGATGGAATACGAATTCTCCGAAACTAATTTCAACGATCCTAACCGTCAAACTTGTTTGTACATACTTCGAGATCACATCAGCAAAAAATTGCAAAAAACAAACATTCAACGATCAAGTAACTGGACAAAACTTTTCGACGGTTATAAACTAAAAATCAGGATTTAATGGTTATTTTAACTCCGATTTTGATAATTTTTTACAGCTACACTCTTTGACCCTTTATGAATACAAAGAACGAATTCGATCTCCAATTTAAAATATTTACACTAGTGGATGTGGATATCACAAAATCTTATGTTATATACTTAATAAAAGTATGAATCAACTGTAATAATTATATACATTAATTTAACAATAAACTATAATAATTATATAATATAATTATATATATTAAATTTAATTTAAAAAATTGATGACCATTGGATCGGCTGAGATTAAATCTCAACCGTCCATTTCATAATTATATATATTTTTTATTAAATTTAAAATTTTGATAATCATTGGATCGACTGAGATTCCATTGTTACCAGCAACAGTTCAAGCTTTGTTATGCACACAAGATTGGCTATTTGGAAAAGGAGGTAATATATTTTTATATGGTATAGTACTATTATTTTATTTTTTTTCATAATTATTTTGGTAAACTTCCCATAATTTGAATGATTTTTAATGTTTGGTTTTTCTATACTTAGTTTATGCGGAAGAGAGTTTTGACGTGGAAAACCTTACTGAAAGCATCATCAACATAACTCTTGAAGGCAATAGATCAAGCCAAAGTTCCAATACAATTTCATGATGATCGATTTAAACTTTTGAGAAGGACTTAAAACCTTGAAAACAAAAACTCTTTCATTTTGCATATCCTTGCACATTTAATATTTGCTCCTTGCACATTTAATATTTGTAATATATTAGTAGTGTATGTATTATTTTTTTATTAGGCTCTTATTTTCAAGTGTGGATATAGTACTTAAACAACAAATGTTTTAATGTTTTGAAGTAATATTTATGTGGCAATGTGTGGTATGCACAAATTAAAAAAAAATATTTTTTTCTTAATGGGTCATAATGGGTCGGGTCGGGTCATTTTACCCCGTTGGGTAAAGTGACCCGACCTGTTAAGGACCCGTTAAGATAACGGGTGTGACACGACACGACCCGTTAAGATAACAGGTGTTACACGAAAATGACACGAACACGACAGACACGACCCGTTTGTCAGGCCTAACGAGAAGTTAGTTAGTACTATGGTATAATAGTATTATTCTTTACTTGTAAGTGAAAGATTTTAAATTTTAAACAAGTACAACAAATTGAACAACTTAAAAAAGAAGTAATATTACAAGTGTCACGATGCCTATATAATTAGGCTGCCAAAGTCAATTGAAACTAAGGTCAGTAAAATCAATTATTTCTCTCCAACTAAGATCAATACCACTTGCTAAAATTTCTCTATATGATCTTCTCATTTTCTAAAAAAAAAGCTATTATTATTAAAGGGGGGAATGAGAGTTCGAAACTATTCCAATAATTTAGGAGATGAGGGAGTTTCGAATCCGAGACGCATAAATAGAAATCCAACACCCTATCCATTAGAATATTAGACCACTATGCTACACATCTTGATTGACTCAATCATACATTACACATGTCTTTGTAACTTCAAAGAAAATACCTAATACCAAAGTTTGGACCAAGGTTTGTCAATGCAAGGACAATCCTATTCACAAACCTATTTTTATCTCTCACACAACCTTGTTAATGTCATTGATCTCCTTTATTTCCTTCGATTTAACAGCTGAAAATTAAAAGAGATATATGAGAAGTAAAATGAGTATGTGAATAGCATCACTTATATATATATATATAATGATTTTATGTTTTTCCATACACCTAGGCAAAATAATGGAAACATGCCATGTGCATTTTTCTGGATTGCTCACTTCAACTCTATCTGGATGGTTTCATATTCTGGCGCTCAACACGTGCATGAGATAGGAGAAATCAAATCATATAAAGAGAGATACTCCAAATTCCTAGACTTCGATCCAAACCATACAAGTATAACGCAACTTACCATATCACTCCTTCTATACATATCCTAATGCCAACTTGACCCTCCTTGTACTCATGGACCACTCCACTCATGACTCATTTCCAGCCTTATTAACTCTGTTATATTGATTAGTTCATTAAGATACTTTGCATATGTTTATATTGTGAACTGATTACAGTGAAATCTTAACTTTTTATATGGTATCAAAACACATTAATCAACATGTTGAGCCCAATTGTATACGTGATTTCACGTCACTCAATATGTATTATCCACATAGTAGACTTAAATAATGCTTCCTAAGATGATATTGAAAATATGAATTCGACATTAAGGAATTAGAGACTCTTATATGTCCTTACAAGAAATTACACTACATTTTATATTGTCAGTTAGTTTTACAGTAGACTTTTTAACCTCGCTTACTCTTTGTTTTTTGGCAGAACTTTGTTTAGTTGCAGAGTTCAATTCTCCCTCCACAAAATTGCTGAAGTGATGTCAGTGACGGTATTTTACTCTTTTATAAGCCCAAACACTCCACACCCCCATGTGGTCCTCACTCCCCATGTGCAAGCCAGTCAGTCCTCCTTCATCGATTCTCTCTCTTTCTCTCTCTCTGCATCCTCATTTCCTCCTACTCAAAGATTCCAACTTTCTTTCAGCTAAATGTATTATCTCCCCATTTCTCTACAATCTTATGATCATACCTAAAGAATCAAGTTCTTGACACTTCAAACCTTTCTTCAAACATTTTGCACAAAACCCAACTCCTAAAGCTATCTCTCTCTCTCTCTCTCTCTCTCTGTGAAAGTTTTTCAAGATGAAGAAGAAAACCCATGCTGGGTTCAAGCTTTTGACCATTTTGCTTGCTGGCCTTTCATCAGTCTTGCTGGGTGCTAACTCCCAACCGAGTTCAAGCAACGATGCTGCAGTGATGCTGGCTCTGAAGAAAACCCTCAAACCATCTGAATCTCTCGGATGGTCCGACCCGGACCCCTGCCAATGGACCCATGTGGGCTGCTCAGACGACAAGAGGGTGACCCGGATCCAACTGGGTCACCTTAATATAGAAGGTACGCTTCCTCCTAGCCTCCAAAATCTCACTGAACTCGAGCGTTTAGAGCTTCAATGGAACAAAATTTCAGGTCCTCTGCCGAGCCTTAGTGGGTTAAGTTCACTGCAAGTTTTACTGATCAGTAACAATTTGTTTACTTCAATTCCTAGTGATTTTTTTACTGGTATGACTTCCCTTCAATCTGTTGAGATTGATAACAACCCTTTTATGAGTTGGGAAATTCCTGAAACTCTCAAGAACGCATCTTCGCTTCAAAACTTTTCGGCCAATTCGGCCAACATTACTGGGAAAATACCCAATTTTTTCGATGGAGATGCGTTTCCGAGTCTGGTTAACTTGCACCTGGCCTTCAATGGCCTCGAAGGCGACCTGCCCACGAGCTTTTCTGGGTTGCAGATTCAGTCTCTGTGGCTTAATGGGCAAGAAAGTGTAGGTAAGCTTGGTGGAAGCATTGCTGTTTTACAGAACATGACTCTGTTGAAAGAGGTTTGGTTGCATTCGAATGCGTTTTCAGGTCCATTACCGGACTTTTCAGGTTTGACAGACTTGCGGAGGTTGAGTTTGAGAGATAATATGTTTACTGGTCCTGTTCCAGTGTCGTTGGTGAGCCTTAAGTCACTAGAGGCTGTGAACTTGACAAACAATTTGCTTCAAGGACCAATGCCGGCTTTTGTTTCAGGGGTTGCAGTAGATTTGGTTAAGGGTTCTAATAACTTTTGCTTGCCGAGTCCTGGTCAATGTGATCCTCGAGTGAATACTTTGCTTTCGATTGCAAGTTCAGTGGGTTACCCCCAAAAGTTTGCAGAGAATTGGAAGGGAATGATCCATGTGCAGATTGGATTGGGGTTACTTGTAGTAATGGGAACATTACTGTCCTCAATTTTCAGAAAATGGGTCTTAATGGAACGATTTCTTCCGAAATCGTGTCATTGAAGTCCCTGCAAAGGGTAGTTCTTGCTGATAACAATTTAACTGGAAGGATTCCAGCCGAGCTTGTCACGCTACCTGCACTCACCGTACTTGATGTGTCAAACAATAATCTCTATGGGAAACCCCCAGCTTTTAAGGATAAGGTGCTTGTAAAAATGTTTGGTAACCCTGATATAGGGAACGAAAAGAGTACTTCAGCGGGAGGTGCACCATCTCAAAATTCCACCAACCTTTCTACAAGCATACGTTCCGGAAACAGTGCTAGACCTCATGGAAAGAAATCTTCAAGTCTAATAGGAGTCATTGTGTTCTCTGTAATTGGGGGTGTATTTGTGATTTTATTAATCGCACTGTTGCTTATCTGTGTATATAGAACAAAACAAAAGCAGTTGAGCAGAGTTCAGAGCCCGAATGCAATGGTAGTTCATCCCCGCCACTCTGGATCTGATAATGAGAGCATGAAGATAACAGTTGCAGGCTCCAGTGTTAGTGTTGGTGCACTGAGTGAAGCTCATACTCTTCCTAGCAGTGAGTCCAATGAAATCCAAATGGTTGAAGCAGGAAACATGGTGATTTCTATTCAAGTGCTCCGGAATGTGACAAACAATTTCAGTGAAGAAAATATATTGGGACAAGGAGGTTTTGGGACAGTGTATAAAGGGGAACTGCACGATGGAACAAAGATTGCTGTTAAGAGAATGGAGGCTGGGGTAATAGTAGGAAAGGGGCTTTCTGAATTTAAGTCTGAGATTTCTGTTTTGACAAAGGTTCGTCACAGGCATCTTGTAGCTCTTCTGGGGTATTGTTTAGATGGAAATGAAAGGCTTCTTGTATATGAGTATATGCCTCAAGGAACGCTCAGCAGGCACCTCTTCAACTGGCCGGAAGAAGGACTGAAACCACTGGAATGGACAAGAAGGCTGACAATTGCCTTAGATGTAGCAAGGGGTGTTGAGTATCTCCATGGTTTGGCCCATCAGAGTTTTATACATAGGGACTTAAAGCCTTCAAATATTCTTCTTGGTGATGATATGAGAGCTAAGGTTGCAGATTTCGGCCTTGTGCGGCTTGCTCCAGAGGGCAAAGGTTCAATTGAAACAAGGATTGCAGGGACTTTTGGATACTTGGCACCAGAATATGCAGGTAATTCTTGTTTCTGTTGATTTTTTTTTACTTCGTTTTTGCTAAGTTTCTTTTGAAATCAGGCAAACTTTCAACTTTGTTTACTGAAAAAAAAAAACGTAGTAAATAAAACATGAGAGTGATATCAGGTCAGTTTGAGACTTTGAATACCCGATACTGCAAGCGAATAGAAAATGCTTGCATAATATGGCACAACCAGAATGCAACCTTAGTTCTTTGCCTCCATTTCCATAAGGCTTTTTTCATATTCAAGAAAACCAGTTTAAGGGAAAAAAATAGCTACTACTGCTGGCTCTTAAGTTTTGGTTCCAAAGTAGAGAACCTTTTTCTATTTCTATATCATCGACTTTAAGTACGTTTGTCATTACTTTTTACCAGAAAATTATGAATGGTTCAGAAAATATGGACTATGAGCAGCTCTGCAAATGTATCAACAACTTTATTTTATTTTTTATCTCTTGGTCTGATTAACAAATTCAAACAAGAATGCTTAATTTCTAGTTGATGTTCTTAATGCATTGGGGGTGAGAAGATATGTCAGGCAAATAGTATAACAAGTTTTATTGTTTACTGATCTTTAATAGAGGTAAGGTCACAATGAGTCCGTTTCTGCCGTGTTATGAACTGTAAATCCATTGTTGTGACTGTGATCCATTATGAGATTTAGGTTGGATTCTCATGACTGCCATTCTTAAGAAAGCAAATTAGAAAAATGAAGTCATGATTTTCTTGGGAGTTTGTGGGTTGGTTACAGGAAAAAGAATGGCACCAGAATGATGAGTGTTCTCTAAATTTCACTAAATTGCACGTTCAGTAATCATCGTTGCGCATCATCTTATTCTCTTCTCTGCCAGCTGTGTATTTGGCCTTTTGGGACATCATTGCTAAGGGTTTCTGAAATCACTCGAGCAACCCGAATATTTTAAAGCCATTTTCCCTTGCTGTTTTTAATAACAGAATGGTAGAATATTTTGCTATTGGATTGTTCTCATTGGAAATCTCCATGATATTAGTTGTTCCCAGCTGGTTTTGGCCTTTTGGAGCTTAAAGCAGTCGATTCACTGAACCCACTTTAGTAGTTTTGATTTTCTGTTTGTTCCTTCCTTTTTAGGTCAGCTGATCCCACTTACCTAGCTTTACAACAAAGCTAATCATTGCCTTTATTCCGGTGGTTCCGCAATTTTAATGTCTTACACGTTTTGCCTTCTCATAGTTCGTTTTACTTTTCATTTAAAAGAAAATTCTATTTAACTTTTGGTTAATAGTTGGTAGTCAATATTGACACTGATTGTAAACAAAAAATTTGCGATACTTGCAGTTACTGGCCGTGTGACAACTAAAGTAGATGTGTTCAGTTTTGGAGTGATTTTGATGGAGCTGATCACCGGGAGAAGGGCACTTGACGACAGCCAGCCTGAGGAGAGCATGCACTTAGTGACATGGTTCCGGAGAATGGTCATTAACAAGGACTCATTCCGCAAGGCAATTGATCCCACAATTGATCTCAACGAGGAAACACTTGCCAGTGTCAGCACTGTCGCTGAGTTAGCAGGTCACTGCTGTGCCAGAGAGCCGTATCAGAGGCCTGACATGGGCCACACCGTGAATGTCCTATCTTCTCTGGTGGAGCTTTGGAAGCCAAGCGATCAAAGTTCTGAAGACATATATGGTATAGACCTTGAAATGTCGTTGCCGCAAGCACTTAAGAAGTGGCAGGCATATGAAGGTAGAAGCAATTCGGAATCCTCTTCTTCATCGCTTCTTCCCAGCTTGGATAACACTCAGACGAGCATCCCTACACGCCCGTATGGATTTGCCGAGTCTTTCACATCTGCAGATGGGAGATAATTAGTAGGTGTACATGATTGTAATGGTGGGTTTGGTATGTTCGTTCTGGTTGATTCCTATCTTGCGGGTTTCTGTGTACAATTTGTTCAAACTTTCATGTTTTAGCCTTACCCCCTCGCTCGGATGTTATCAGATATTTTCAGTTGTGTTAGAGGTTTTTGAATGAAATGAGAAGAAGTCCTTCACTCTCAAGAATGAATGTCTCATTTTCTTTTTATTCGAGTGATATTCTAATATAATTTATATTACAATTTAACGAAAAGGATTCAGACCTGCGTGTAGATGAGGAGCAATTGTTTTAGCCAATTTGGTTACGCTAAATTAGATCTAAAAACAATACACAGAGCATAGAATGAATGTTTGTTACAGGTTTCAACTTGATATATAATTGAATAAGTGAATGGTATCTTGCTTTACAAATCTCTCTATTTTGTACAGAAAAGAATTTCTAACACAACTAAAGAACAAGAAAAGTAATTTCTTCTCTCTTAATTCAAAAATGACCTCTTCAGGTACTTGAAATCCATGGAGGAATCAACACAGTCCAATTCACTCGTGTGCAGATTAAACAATTTCAGCAAGTCAGTAACCTTGTCCTTGATCCCATCACTAACCCCGACCTGCAAGACCACCAACAGCTTCTGAAAAGCACCCACTTGAAGCGCCTCAATCAAAACGCTTTCCTCGGTTTCAATCCTGCACAGCTTCCAGATTATAGACACCGAAAACTCCGTCCCCAACTCTGAAATCCTCAAAATCTTCTTCACCAAAAGAGGCATTGTGAGAGCATTCTCAAGGGCCTTTTCCCTCCCTTGTTTGCAGTCGCAAAGAACCTCCAAAACAGACAAAGCTCTCTCCGAAACTCCTTTCTCTGCCTCAACAAGAATTTCCAGCAGCAAAGAAACCAAACCCAATTCCACAAATCTTGATCTGATTTCGTCACTGGTTTGCGCGGATGGCGGTGATGAAATCATGAAAAGAACACAAGCTAGAGCGGCCTTGGTCGCTTGAGGACAAATAGGTTCTCTAATGATCCCAACAATTGCTTCAGTACCTCCTTCAATCGCCCAGAAAGCATCCACATATTTTTGATCCGAAGAAAACAACTTTCTAAGTACCAAAACCGCGTTTTTCCGTGCTGTTAGATCTTTCCCCTCCAAAAACGACACAAAAGATCGCAAACACCCTGAAGATCCAAGCTTTGATTGGCCTTCTTCACTCAATGGAAAAATCCACGGCAGCACTGATAGAATTTCCACCAATATCTCAACATGCTTGTCCATTGAACCGTCGGCAAAGGACTCGAACACAGCGGATAAGCAGCTGCCAATTCCGTTCTCGACCATACACTTCTTGTTCCGCTCGCTTTCCTTGCCCCACGCTTTAATCTTCCCCACCAGTTCATGACACTTCTTCTCATCCAAACGCCGCGCTGCCCCCGCAACTCTCTCGCGGATCCTCAAAACCTCATAGGGAGTCACGGGGATTCGCGGCGTTGGAATCCGCTCGATGCCATTAGACCTGTTCTCCACACACCAATCCTGGATCATCCGACGCAGTGCATGGTTCGGAATCTGGTCAAAACTCACTAGTTCCTGATTAGTCACCGGACACGTACTGTTGCCGGTCTCGATCCACATCTCAATGCTCGACCTGTCGTACGTCATTCCCGTCGAAAGCGTCACCGGATCTTTCATCAAGTCGAGGGAAATCGGGCACCGGAAATGCGTCGGAATGGCGATCTCCTCCACGTCCATGTCCAAATTACAAAATTGTTTCTTGTTGTTGGCTTTACGTCCGGCCCTTCTTCTTCCCCAAGATAAGATCATTGTTCGTTGCTTTGAATCAAAGTACAAAAAAATAAATTAGAAATCGATGAGAGAATTTGCTTTGAGTATTCGTGTTGTTTTTGGTTGTGAGAAATGTGGGGAGCTCGATGAGCTTATATATTGTATACGCAACGCGGGGTCAAAACTCAAAAGGCAAAGTGGGAATATGTAATGAATGCTTGCGTTTTTGAATGTTGACCGTTGAATTGAAAGATTCAAATGTAGGAAGGGGACAGGTGGTGCGTGTGTATTGGGTGGGGGGAATGGGGTGTGGGTCCAGTCTACACTTGTCCTTTTATAATTTGTATTTGCGTCGGTAGATGATTGACCAAGCTGTTTTGAGCTGTGCTGGGGTTTTGGTCAAATGCCAATTAGTCGGTGCTTGGACTCGGACACGAACTCTACGCTTGGTAACTGCGTGTCCAGATGTTTTTCTTTTTGAATTTGGTCAACTAAAACTGCTGAAACGCCTGATACACTTTGCTACGTAACAGTGCATTAAGTGATGTTGGCGGTATAAATTTTAGAATGTCATTTCATTAAGTCTAAGTACTTTGTGTTTTTTTTTATAATATTTTTATAAGTTTATCTAGGTTTTTTTTTATCTTTTTTATGTGAGTATGTCTCATAATCGCACTTTCTAACTAGAGCATATAGAGGTCTTTAATTTACATGTCCAAACTATTTTAACCACATAAATTAAGTAGTACAAAAAATAAATAATTGAATCTGAGTGATACAGTTAAAATATTTATAGCATTGAGTGTTACGTAACTTTGAATCACAAGCAAAGTAAATGATTGAAACAACAACATCGCATGGACATGGTGGCCCAAGTAAGTGGTTGCGTTCTTCTAGCCCTAATGATGCGATTTTTTTCTCTCCTAATTTTTAAGTTTGGGTAACAAGAATAAACCCACCACACAAAGGAGTGGTTGAGCCATACTAACAAGAGAACTTTTCGATGAGACATTAGGAGATGTTCATTATTATCTATTATTTTGACTAAGACAATTGAACGCACTTCATTGCATTTTGGATGTGAGTGATTTAAGGTGCGAATAACAGGAGCTCACATACTTTGTTACTTTGAAAATGTGTACTAATTAATGAAATATGATTAAATATATGTTTATGTATAATAAGTTGTTAACGTTTGCTAACAACGGTTGAATGGGTCAAAGTGTTTGTCCTTCATGGACTTGGGCTTTGCAAACAAGGATAATAGACATAGAATTTAAGTTGTTCACCCCTCAAAATTGGCTATGTTCACTGAGTTTCTTATAGAAACTGAGAAAAAAGTTACAAGTAGCACTTGGCCAAAATTGTACAATTTCTCTCTCAATTCATCCGACCCTTTGTAAGGGGTCATTGTCTTTCTTATATAGGCGATTTTTTGACTCTTCAATCTTTTTGCTCGAACCTATCACTTCCTTTGCATTTAATGCGTCGAGTGCACGTATTAGACCTGCCAATTGTCCCTCATCTCCTTGGCTGACACATGGCAACAATGTGACCTTCGCATGGGTCCACTTGTGTCTATTCTTGAGACGAAGCGGCCGCGTGCCTTGCTCTAGCCCTTGTGTTGATGGGAACTGGCACTTGAGCGTCCTACCTATCAACCTTTATGTCTATTCGTAGGTATTTGTTCCCTCATTCGGCCATCACATGGCCTGAAATTAATGTTTGACTAAACCTACCCTTTCTATTTCTTAGAGCCCGTGCTTAAAATTTGTCAGTAGCCAACTGGCCCTCTAGTGCTCGGAAGACACTTTATGAAGAAGCGCTTAGCTTGATTGTTAATAAGATGTTAGGTGGCCATGGGCTCCTTTAAAGCACTCAGCCTTATCTTTCCATGTTCATTGGACCTTCAATATCTTTTGGGCCCGTGCCCCTTTGGGCTTGTGTTACTCTAGGTTTGTGTTCCTTTGGGCCGGTCAGAGTCGGAAATGACCCTTTTGTTAACATAAGTTACTACAATTTTTTTATTACAATTTTTTATTTTGTATTAATTGGTGAATAACAATCCATTTCCAGATTATCGTTATTGAGAAACATGATTCAATTTCAATTATGTTACTCACCATGTAATATATTGTAGTAACTTAGTATACCTTATATCAAAGAACAATTCATCAATTCTAATCACAATTGTTCTTTATTTAGTTATATTATCCTTCAAAGAACATACTTTTTTTGGGCCCTCGATTCGAGGCTCTTAGTCGTCGCACTCGATGCCCATGGCCAAGGAAGGTAGTTTTGTATTAATTTCATCGATTCCAATTAGAAAATGTTTATTTATTATGAGAAGGAATGAGAGTATAAACGATTAAGTATGAGATTAAACAACTCCTGCACATAAATTCATATCTTGGCTTTTCATTCCTTAATTGTTAATAAACACATAAATGAGAATCATAAATGTTCATTTCAAATCATTAGTCGTAAGTAAATATTCGATTAAGATAATACCGGTGAATCACTTGAATTTAGTAGTGGATAATGTGAAAAGCCTGTGCTACAACTCACAAAGGTGAAAGGTTCGTATTCGAATTTGAAGTTTAGAAGACACGAAAGATAAATTCTTTTCGGTTGACTTCTGCATATGAAGTTAGGGAAATGATAATGGAGTGGATATGCTTCATTAGATTAGCCATATAAACTTTACGTCGGATCTTAAATTATCTTGACATATATGCAACATGTTTATGTTATTAAAACTAAAGCAATGAACCATGAGAATAAAGAAAGGAGTCACTAACTTAGTGGAAGAATGTGCAATTAAGTAGTAAATTATGATGTACATCTTCAAGAAAACTCTAGTGGTTGGATGCTTGGTGGTGGGAACAAGAACTGGTCTTCGAATGCATGCTTAATCTGTATAATTTTGATATGCTTTATTGACCTATTCTGTAATAGCTTCAACATTTTATAAAAAATAAAATTTATAAAGCTTTTGTGGCAAATGGTAATGTAATAGGATCTTCGGAATTAGTTGTTAAGATTAAAAACACACACACATATAAGATTGTTAGGGTGATCGAACTCTAATTTTCAGCAAAATCTTATAAATTAAATGATGGAATGTAGTTTTCATTTGTTATCTAATATTATTGCTAAAACATTCAATCTTCATGTTCCTTTACGTTGCAAATGGTATGATCAAGTCAGTGACAATTAAAATATGTTTGGTATGTTGTAACTTCTAATTTAAGTGTGATTATGTAAATCCTAGATTAGATTTGATTCTAGCTATATTTTTATATTATGACTTGTATTCCTTGGAGTAGAAGGATTTCTTCTCTCTTTTATTACTATAAATAAAGGCACTGCGTAAGGAAAGTAACACATTCCTCTACACAACCCTACAAACGCATCTCTCTCTCTCTCTATTTTCTCTCTGTGCCGCTGGTCCTCTCTCTCTGTCAGTTAAATATAGGCCACAACACATTATCAGCATGCTTTTACCGTTGTGCTTAAGAATCTGATGTGAAAGCTTTATGCATCAAACCAGTTCATCTGTATCATCACGCAATTAGGTTCTTCCAAAACAACATTTTTTATCGCGATATTTTTGCAGCCCTGATAGCATGAACATTCACCATAATGTTTGACCAAACTTTACGTTTTTCGAATTTTAGATTCTACATAAATTGTGTACGCATTATATTCATAATTGTTGAATAATGTGAATTTGATATTGCCATGAATTGCATCAAATATCTATTCATTCATTAAAATTATATATTAAATATGCCTTGAATTAATTGAAGAAAAAAAAAAAATTTTTTTAGGGTTCTTCGAACCCATGACCCGAGCCGCTAGCCCAGGCCTGCAGCCTGTGTGGCTGAGCCAAGCCGCATTACCACGAAGCTGGAGCCATGGGCTCCTGGTCTTAAACCCCAAAACAAATCCAACGCCTTCCATGGCATCTTCTCCTTCACGGTTTTATTTTCAAATTATTGGAATATTATAAATATTGTTATATAATTATCTATTATATAATTTATAAATTATATATTATATTTTGGTACGGTACGGTAATACTGTGGTAATGGTATCCATTACCAATACTGTACCATAAAATTTTGATACGGTACAGTATCGTACCATTACCGAGTGGCACAAAAAAATTGGCACAAAATCATTATGGCAATGTTGGCACGGCAATTTGGCAAAAAAATCCACCCCTAGTTGCCACTTCGTCTAACCATGCCAAAATTTTTGCCTTACACAAAGCAACTTGGAATGCTTTTGGTTGAGAGCAGTTGTGGGCCATATTTGAAGGTTGCGATCTTTACCCCGTCGTTGATGTCCCGATGACGATCTGTGAAGACAACGCAGCATGCATCGAACAGCTCAAGAAGGGTTACATCAAAAGAGACAACACCAAGCACAATGTGCCAAAATTCTTCTTTTCACATCAATAACAAAAGCATCAGAAGATTGAAGTCACACAAATCCGTTCACAAGACAATCAGGCCTACCTCTTCACCAAATCACTACCGAAGGTGACGTTTCAGAAGTTTATACAAGGAATTGGTATGCATAAACTTTATGAGTTGTAACATTGCTAGTTCTCTTTGGAATTAGTGTAAAACTCAAGGGGGAGTATCCTGGAGTATACTTGCTTGATCGTAATATACTTTTTTCCCTACGATTAGGAGCATTTTTCCTACTGAGTTTTTGCTACCTAGCTAGGTTTTGACGAGGTACCCACCTTGGGTTGATCATATCCCTGATGATGTCTCGTAGACGTTTCCTTTGATTTTGCATTTCTCACGCATTTTTGCTTAGGCTATAGATTTTGTCCCAACTTGGGTTTTTACCATAGCCATAGGGTTTTTTGTGAGACTTACTTCCTTATGCAAGTTCATACCTTATTTGAGAGTGGTGTGTTCCCAAAATCAGTGTCGACGAGTCGACTTCCTCAACCTCTACATGATGCCGAATCTATTTGAGTATTTACACATTCAAGGGGAGTGTTGTAAACTTCTAGTTTAAGTGTGATCGTGTAAATCCTAGATTAGATTTGATTATAGTTATTCTTTCATATTAGGACTTATATTCCTTGGAGGAGAATGATTTCTTCTCTTTCTTATCACTGTAAATAAAGGCACTGCATAAGCGGAATAACACATTCCTCTACATAACCCTACAAACACATCTCCCTCTATTTTCTCTCTGTGCCGCCGGCCCCCTCTCTCTATCAGTTAAATATAGGCCACAACATGGTAACTATTTTAGTTCTAAGTTTTGTATATATTTGTTTTCAAATTTCATTAGAAAATTGAGTCCAAATTTGAAAACTTAAAAAGTAACTTTAATTTTTCATTTTCGGTTTTTTTTTATCCCCTTTTTTTGGGAAATTCACTAGTTCATTGTTTATGCTCAAGGTCTCGTGAGCATGCAATATGTCAAAAACCCATCGTTGGATTCCTCCACTTTTCATGGCTTCCCAATACAAGGTGGTTCTATCCACACATATAGGGGCGGATTTACTAATGGATCAGGGTGGTCTCGGGATCACCCGAAAGCTCAAATAAATGGATGTGAGAACCTCCTAGGACCATCTAAGCCTAGGTAGTTGTAGAGAAGAGCAGCAGCCATGGCTGCTACACTATGCAAAAATGAAGGAGGAAGAAGAAAGGTTTTTTTTTTTTTTTTTAAATGACTTGGCCAAAATGACGTCGTTTTGAGCTAAGTCATCAAAAAAATTTAAAGCCCACATGATAGCACTCACCATCTTTTATTAAAAAGTCAAACAATTTGAAATTTAATAAAGGGAGCTTTAATGAAAAACTTCCAGTATTGTTCATTTTAATAAAAAAAAAACCATATTTTTACATTAAAAAGTCAATCTTGGTACTATTCATTTTACTCTTTATTTTGTCGTTATCGTTAAAACTTAAAGTTTTCAAACCCTTTTCATTAGTTTTCCTTTTAATAAAAGCCTGTGGCTTTTCATTAGTCTGCTTTCAATCAAATTCAACTTTATAAAATATAATATACCTAATTGTCTGCCACTCTTATTCCTCACGCAACCTGAGCCAACGAATGCCATCAACAGCAATTTCAGAATTTCTGTAAGTTTTCTAGTTTAGTGTTAGTTCATACTTATTTTTAGTGTTAGTTCATGCATATTTATTATTAATTTGTTAGGATTTTTGGTTTTAGTTTTTTATTTTAGTTTTTAAGAACACCAATTAAAAAGAAAAGGCTGAACAATCACACACTAATGAGTTTTAAACTAAGTTCAGCCTTATTCATTGTTAATTTCTTAGGATTTTTTCATATCTATTTTAGTGTTAGTTCATACATATTTATTGTTCATTCGTTAGGATTTTTTGATATTACTTGAATTGTGTTACAGTGTATTTTTTTTCTTTTTTGTCGAAGATTATGTTACAGTGTTAGTTCAGACATATTTTTTGTCAAAGTTGTAGTTTGCCATTTATTTTTCAATGTTATTTTCGTTGTTTTATTCTAAAACTTTTATATTAGAACCACCATATGTTAAAATCCTGGATCCGTCACTGCACACGTATATTTTATCTTTCACACTTTTTAATTTTTGGCTATCGAAGCAATTAAATTGAAGAATATCAACAAAATTAACAAACGATGTATAGAAAATAAAACAAGCTGTGTGAATAGCACATCCTAATACAATACTTCTATGAAAAGACAGATTATTAATTAATCTCGAAAGAAAAACGAATCCTCTTTAAACATGTGCTTAGAGGCTGGAGCCCTAGGCTTGTAGTACCTCCTACCTAGCTAGTTATAGGTATGTCGCTGTGCTAGTTGAGCACTAGAGGATACGATAACTTAGAGTTAGTTCTGTACTTTTTTTGTTCTTTTGCATTATCCATGCACAGTCCCACGTTGTCACACATGTTTTTCTCTCTTTCTTTTGAGAATTATTGTTGTTATTTCGTCAAATAATTGGAACTTCAACTCTCCATTTAGCTCTGGTTCTACCCTTATTTCATTGATACTGCTAGGGTTACATATGGAGTTTAGTTCTTTTACGGTTTATTGCTCTTTTATGTTCTGATGTATTGCATGCACCAAAACAATCAATAGTTGAATATAGAGTCATAAATAAAGATTCAAAAATTGAGAATTCCAGCGTATAAAAGTAACTAATAATGGATCAGCATCATTGCTCTAGTGCATGTAGCTTTTTACTATTCCTGTAATTTGACTGAGATTTTATATCAATCAATATTAGAGTGCTCTATTCGTGAATTAAGAATATTTAAAGAAATTATTTGATGCAAAAAAGATTAATTAATATGTGGTAATGGGAGTGGCAGTACCTAAATTGAATTCTCTTGAAATTTTAGTGGGTGGACTTGTCGGAAATTTTATATATTACAAATATTGGCATATTTAGCTTTGTGTGATCACTACATGCAGGCATATCCTAGCAAAGAAAGAGTAGCTTTTGTTTTTGTTTTCCAATGAGAGAGATGCGCGAATCGAGCCCAAAATTTCACGTGAAACAATATATATACTTCAAACTATTTGAGCCACGAGTCATAAAAAAAAAGAAGGTAGGTTAATGTTAGGCTGGACGTGCACAGCGAATATGATGAATGAAAGGAGGCTGGACCCATGCATGATGGAGTTATCTCAATTCAAACACTTGAAAAGTGGGATTGAAAGAGAATCTCAATGCGGCACTGGCTTTGTTTGTAATTGGCTTGGCTCTTGCTTCTCTCTCTCTCAATGTAATTGTTGCACTATCAAGGTTTGAGAGTTAGTTGTCCATGTAAGCACTAAGCAGTGGCCCAAAAATCAACAATTTAGGATAGAAGGGTTGAGAGATAAGAAAAAATTACATGAAACTGGATTTACTGTTATGTGATGTTTCGATCTAATAATATATTATAATATGTAACTTTTTCATTACATAACATTGTATTATCAGATCAGAACATCACAATAGTAAACTTGTTCTATAAATTATTCTCCCGATAAAGACTGAAGATAAATAGTAGTAGTAACAGTAGTAATATGTCATAATATTCTTCCCCGTTCTTTCTATAATTTTTCCCAACTACACTTTATCCGGTCCCTTTTCCTCTTAGTACTCTCTCTGACCTCCCACCAGTGTCCCCCACAACCCCACCACCACCACCACGGTCCTCTTCCTACCTTTTGCTTTAGCATAATTTATCCTCAAAATCTCTCTACTTTTCCTTTTTCTTCAACTTCCTTTTGTTTGTTATTTAAGTAGCGAACTATTTTGAGATGATCAACTGCATTTATATAATAAGAAACACTCAACTGGTTGATGTCTGCTAATTTCAAGCATTTGCAATACCATGGACTCCAGGAGCTAGTCAATTGTACTTGATCTTCAACCAGATAAATGCTATACTTTTCTTCGCTCATCTTTCTTTTTCTGCATGTTCTTGTTTATATACATGTACGCGACAGATTGTATACAAAAATCACCAGTTGATCTAGTCTTTTATGGTGTACCAATGCTGATCTGTAGTCGTGCCTGGTTTTGGAGTTGTGATTGTTGAAGAATATGTAATTCCACATCGGAGAATTGACAAAATTCTCACAGTTGAGAATATCATCCACATCATATTAGTACTAACCTGTTGTTCTGTCTCTCTAAAATCTTGATAGTAATAATATACTAGGCTACTTTGAAATTTTATGTGACTAGTGGTCTTTTGATAAATTTTCCTGCATCTCCTCCTTAATTTCCTAGGTTCTGGAATAGCGTCTGAATTTCGACTAGTCTAAAGAACACGTTTTTTCTATTTTATTTCATATTTCTATACAAGATTAAAATTGTCCAGAAAATATGCAAGGATTAAATAGAGATTGTGTACTTCGTGAAACTCCTAGGTCTTTTCTGGCACATAATTTTCCATGTAAATGTGAAAACTGTTTTCCTTGTGAGAATCTGTTGGACCCTGTGACATTTCAAGATGCTGGCCTCCTTTTGTTTTTCGGAATAAAACACTTGAATGCCAGCCTATTCAATCCCTTGTTCGTAATTCTGTGTCTTCCGATGCAGCTAATCTCTGGCCATGCCTGCTTCACAAGATGAGAATCGTTCTCTATAACTATCGACAAAATCTTGCTTACAGTTCGAGGATCAGTAGATAATCAACAGGTTTAGGGTGAGATGAATCTTACTTCCGTAGGAAACTTTTGTTTTGTGAGAGAACCCTGGTCTAAATATTTTTATGATAACTCATAACAACGACGCTTAAACACTGTTAAAGGATTAAGTTTCGAAGCGCTTGTAACATTATATGACTGATTTTGTTAAGAAATCAATTATGCTTCCCCTCTATGCTCCGGAGATTCATTGCTCACCTTTCAAATTATGTTTCAGTAAAATTCAAACTCATAAGTTAAACTGCAATCGATCAAAACATAACAAATAGTTGCGATAGATCAATAAATTTACACTGCAGACAGCAGTATTCAACAATTCATGATCTTTCATTTCATTCAGGTAAAGGAGAGTGCACATTACCTCTAACATTTGAGCTTTCTTTGTTTCCAAAAATGCAGGATGTATAAGATCGGATAGAGATCAGATAGTCCTTACTAGACCGGCTTAATCCGGTTATTTCAAGTCTGATATGTAAACTATCCCCCCCTCAACTAAAAGGACAGTCAATCATGAACACATATATTGACCTTGAAGTGGAAGCCTCGTCGGCAATTGACTCTGATGTTAGCAGCCAAATTGCTTCTAACACCTCCAACGACAGCGCGGCTAACTCTTTCCATTTTTCAAATCCCAGTGCAGCTCAGCAAGTATTGGAGCCTGCAGTTTCCCTTGACTTAACTCTTAGCTTCAACAATGAGGACTTGGGAGGAAGTGATTCGATAGGACACTCATTGTTGAGCACAAGTGAGAGCAGCAATGAGCCTGCATTTCAGAACACGAATTCTGCGACTCCAAGACTTTTTTCTTGTAATTACTGTCAAAGCAAATTCTTGAGCTCACAGGCACTTGGTGGACACCAAAATGCACACAAGAAAGAGAGGACACTGGCAAAGTGCGCATTGCGAATGAGTATTTTCTCTGAGAATCACGCAAGCCTGGCATCTTTGCCTCTGCACGGACCTTCATTTAGGTCACTAGGTATCAGAGCACACTCATCAGTGCATCAAGAATTTGCACCACCAATGAGGCCTCCTGAGACCAGAAGCGGTGCAGGATTTGAACACGGGTATATGGGGGTACCAATTTTCTTGGTGAATGATGGGGCGCAGCTGTTATGGCCTGGTAGTTTCCGCCAGGCTAGCGCTGCCGAGACAAGTAACAGTACTCACCCAAGTTTTGTACTGACTCATGAAAGTTCAAATTTGAATTTTGTAGACGTGACTCCGCCGGTGGACGCCGTAGACCACTCTGCACCAGATCTCACACTGAAACTTTGAAAGGTTTATGTTTGTTGCTCTTAGTTTGTACATTGAGAAACACATGAGCCATATGACTGCAAGTTTTCTTTTCTTCTTATTGTTGCCTTTACCTTTTCAAATTGTATAAGAGCTGCATGAGTATGAGGATTATTTCAGCGCTCCTTAGCTTGGATTTGATATAAATTGTTTTAGTTTGCTGTGGTACTAGTCTAACGCTCAAGCTCTAACCAATAAGTTAATACAACGCTAACCACTCGTTTCAACGCTCTACACAATCTAATCTTCTAATTTGAACTATTCTTTTTCTAAATCCTTAATGAAAGATCATATGCGAACATTTAAATTCCTATATAACAAGTGTAACTAATTTTCATTGTAAGAGAATTTTACTTGTGAAGATATTTACTTTTAAATGTTATCACCACTTGAGCTATAAATCTTTCAAAAATAGTTTAGGTTATGCGCTATGGTAATAATTATTCAAGGCTGAGTTTATGGAGCATGGGTTAGCACTACAATTAATCTAGTGGTATTGTTCTCTATTTATAAGTGAGAGATTTCAAGTTTGATTTCTTTCAGAATTAAGGCAGTTTCATTAAATTGGTCTTTTCCCCTTATACATAGAGATTAATAAGAATAAGAATAATAAATAATAAATAAATAAATAACAAAATAATGAAGTAAAACATATTCACCCAAAAAAACAAAGAGGAAGTAAAATATAGGAATCATGAAAAATAACTGTCCAAGTGACCCCTTAAATAAATAGTAATTGCCTTTAGTGAATAATAAATGTCCAAGTGCTTTTCCACCCTTAAACTAAATAGCCTGGATTATTGGTATAAAATATTTTTTTAATAAAATAATTTACTTTTAATTTCGGATATGGTTTCAATTCCGTTTGGTAGAAAATCATATAGACGTTGTGTTGAAGCAATCGGCAGCAGTTTAGGAGCAATCCAGGAAAATCGAAGTTTCTCAGTCAGAGCTGCAAGGGCAAGTAGAAAAGAAGAGAAATTTGAACAAAGGAATGGCAATGCTGCAAGAGTCGTACAGCCATTTGGGGAAAGAAATTGATAACTTGAGAGATGAAGCTGTTGAAACTGACAAAGAGATCGTTAAAGTTGGAGGACGAAATGTCATCTAGGATGGAAAATCTGCAAACCAAACCGGATGATATCGGGATTTTGGCTGGGATCTCTTTGGATAAGCAACATCAGCTTCTAGATGGACAGATGACCACTCTCAAGGATTGAGACCAACTTACCTGAAGATGTAGACGGTTCTGAAGACCCTGATTACTTCTTTAAAATTGAATAAGAAACAAGATGCTAGAACATAACATAATTTTATTATATAATCGGTCCTTATAAGAGGAAGAATCAAACTTCACAAAAAAATGTAAACAAGAATCGTGAAAAAAAAAAAAAAGACAGTGGCAGAACGTCGAAAGAAGCAAGAAAGAATTGTGTTATTTAACTTATTACCAGTAGTCCTTGCAAGAGCATGCTCCTCCTGTGAAATGGTGGAAGCGATTTGTGTCTCTCAAAACAATCTCTCTCCTGTAACCATTGAAACTATTTTCACCCAGGAGTGGCAATCCGCACAAATGCGCAAGTTCTTTGTAATCCTAACTGGCATTCCGTCAGCAGTGTGGACAAGTGCGAACATAAGTGCGATTCTTTCACTATGTCCACAAACCCACATTGCTTTGGTTTCTTCATTTACATCATGTAGGACAACACTGGTGTCAGTGCTGTATCCAACCTCTTCCATAGCATCCATCAGTTCACTCCAAACCTTTTTAAACTTGGTTGAATTACGAAATTCAAAACCGCCACCTGCTACAAACGTGTGAATTTTGTTCTTTATTTGTATCCAACTGCATCCAGCCTCCTTTTTTATTCCCCTATCCTTCATTAGTTCCCTAACCCTATTCACATCTTCCCACATCCCTGCATTTGCATAAATGTTTGAGAGCATCACATAGTTCCCAGGATTGTGTCGTTCAAGCTCAAACAACTCCATTGCAGCATGCTCTGCAAGAGAAACATTGCCATGGAGCCGGCATGAGTTGAGTAACGATCCCCATATGCTACCAGTCGGCTTCATAGGCATGTTTTCCACTACATCTAACGCCTCCTTAATTCTACCGGCTCTACCCAAGAGATCCACCAAGCAAGCATAATGCTCAAATGTTGGTGACACGCCATAACCCTCCTTCATTTTACTAAATAAACTCTGTCCTTCATCAGTAAGCCCTGCATGGCTACAGCCAGACAACAAAGCTATAAATGTCACCCCGTCTGGTCGGATTCCAGACTCTACCATCTGAGCAAACAATTTCATTCCCTCTTCCATAAACCCATTGCTGGCATACCCTGCCAGCACAGTATTCCACGATGTCAAGTCTTTACTTTGCATTCCGTCAAACACCCTCTTACAGTAATCAATTGCTCCAGATTTCGCATACATGTCGACAAGTGAGTTTAGTACAGGTACATCTGGTCTCTTGGTGGACTTTACAATCTGGGCATGTATCTCTTTCCCGAAATGAAGTGCAGTCATTCTAGCACAAACTGGTAAAATCGTCGTGAGGGTGACCCAACTGAATCCCATCCCTTGTCCTTGCATCCTTCTAAAACAATCCAATGACTGAAACACTTGGTCTCGTTGAGCAAAACTCGCAATCAAAGAGTTCCAAGACACAACATTTCTCTCAGGCATTGTATCGAACACCTTGAAGACATCCACAGAACACCCGTTCTCCGCATACAGCAGCAGCAGAGCATTGCTCACCACTTGATCAGGCTTTTCACTGGATTTCACAATCTGGGCATGGACCGCCCTACCAACCCTCAACTCAGACAGCTCCGCACACGCCTTCAAGGCCATCGAAAAAGCGAAATTACCCGGCAGGACTAACCGGCTCAGCATGTCACAGTACACAATCAAAGCTTCCACCAAGAACCCGTTTCGCAAGTACCCGATAGCCATCGCCACCCACACCGACTCCGGCATCTGACCATCTTCAACCCCATCATAAAAAACAGAGCGAGCATCGTCGACTCTGCCGCAAACGGAGTAGAGCGTAATGAGCTTGCTTTTCAAGGTGGGGTTTCGGAGAAGGATGCCGTTTTCACCTCTGTCGTCGGAGAGGAGAAGCTGGAGATAAAGCCTTTGGCCGTGCTCTAAGGATCTTCTGGAGATGCAGGTGTGGAGGAGGAGGGAGTAGGCCTCGATGTCCGACTGGGTGGCTGTTAATTTGGAGGGTGAGGATTCGATCAGGCGAAGGGCCTCGTCTAATTTGCCGGATTTGGCGAGCCATTTGAGGGTTGTAGTTAGAGGTTTGCTGGGTTTCTGAGGACCGTTGGGGATTGAAGAAGGTACAGTTATGTTGGTTGAAGCCGCGGGTTTGGTCGTTGAGAGAGAAATGGCGGCAATCATCTTTTGTCCCACTTTATTCGGATTTTAATTTTCTCGATATTATATACATGGCCGAGTCAGCAGACTTTGAAAAACAAAAGCCAAACGCAACAACTAGTATTTGAGATACAATTGCAGCTCCCTAATAAATAAAAAAATGTGGAAGATTTCAAGGGTTCAATACTTCGAGTTAGTTAGTTTGCTTAACCCTGATCATTGGCATGGTGAAATTTTCCATAGCCTTTCCGGTCCCGGAAGGGGTGGATAACCGTGGAATTCCTCATAGCTCATCCGAGCCTGAAAGGGGTGGATAACCGTGGAATTCCTCATAGCTCATCCGAGCCTGAAAGGGATGGATAACCGTGGCTTACCACCAATTGTCGCCCTTTTTAAACAAGAACTAGTATTAGAGATACCACAACGTCATGCCCTCAAAATGATTAATGTCTCGTTTGGAAGTGATTTTAAAATGACTGAAAATGTTTTTTTTATACCAATTCTTAGTGCAAATCTAAGTGAATCCTAAAAAAGCAGTTTAAGTATTTCATGCAAGAATCACATATCTAGTGCTTGTTTCAAAATCAATTTCACCAAAAGCTCTTTTAGTCATTTTAAAAGTACTTCCAAAACGAGCCTTTAATTTTGTCTTTGGAGCATAATAACTAATAAGAAGTATGATCAGAGATGAAATTTTATGAATTCTCCCTAAATTTTAATTGTGAAGTCATTTAGGGAGCGCATGGAAGATTAAGGTTTGAGATTGAATGTTTGAGATTTTAAGTTACTAGATTAATTATTTTGAAGTTATGAGATTATAGCCTGGTGATCTTTTCTGAAATTGATAGGTTTATAAATTTTCTCTTATAATTATCCACCTAACTCAAAAAATTTCATTTGAAAATGTGCATGTTAAATCGGACCGCAACATTGGTAAACCGATTAAATCAATTTTAAGCCTTTTATGGTTTATTTGTGGTTTGGAATTCAGTCAAATCGCAATGTGCAGTTTGGGTCATGTCTTGCACCCATAATCGAATCAATCCAAACCGCACCCAACCCTAATTCACGACTAGTCTCGGAGCAGTAGAAATTTAATGACCATTCATTATAATCAATCAACTTTATCCATGATGTCTTTCCTGCTTCTGAAAAGGATGGTTTGCCATCAGTTGTCCATCCTTTAAAAAGAAAAAAAAAAAAAATCAACTTTATCCATATTTCACCACTTGCTTTAAATATTTATAAAACTACAACTGTCCTAACTTATGTAAGTGTTCTTACCAAACTAATCCCGTACGCCTTAAAAAAGCCAAGAAAATTATTACAACTTAACAGGTTTACAACCAAGATCAATGGATTTCTTCACCGCATCCAACACTAATTGCGTTTTTCTGCTAATCTCGGGCCATTTACTGTCCGGACGCTTTCCAAATTTCCGAATGTCCTCAGCATTCCTTGCAAACTCTTGAACCATCAAGGCCTCTTGCGGCAGCTCAGAAATGACGGTAACTTCTCCTGGTTTTGCATCCCACCCGCTATGGAGTTCCACAAATGTTGCGCCGGATGTAAAGTCAAATGAAGCTGAATTCTCTTGGTACGGAATAATGTAGTCGTTGCAATGCATCGAACCATTAGAACCGGTCATAGCCAAGTCCATGGACGAGTGGGAGAGGAAAGAGAAGTGAATTGTGGCGACGGTTTTGTCTGCGGGTTCCCAATGAATTGATGCAGAGCAAGACAAGATGACCCCTGCAGAGTTTTTGAGGACATCAGGTAGAGCATTCACCACAGTTGGTAATTTGTAGTCCTTTGCCCACAAGATGGCCCCAATGCAGTACCAGCCTATGTCCCCAAGTGCACCGAGAGCATCCAAGTTCGGATTCACTCTGATGTTGCTCTCCAAGAAATCCTGGGTTCCTGGCATTGTTGATGTGCTACGGATCTTAAAAGCATAATAACATGTTAAACAAGAACAAAGAATACCAATTATAATTCACATGAGAATTCTCAGTTCATTACAATACATTAATTATTGATAACAAACATATAAAGTACTCAGCAAAGTTTTATGATATGCTTTAACACCCTGGGGATAATACACACTTCCTTTATGGAGAGTTTTCCAATTTATTAATAACAAGCATATCCGAGATCAAGTAGGAGTGCCCGCAATTGGAGATAAGATGAGATAAAATTAGTTAAGGTGGTTTGGATATGTGAACGAAGACCTAGAGATGCTCCGATTAGAAAATGCGATTGTGAAATACAGGCTCATGCCAAAAGAGGTAGAGGAAGACTTGGAAAAAGATGGATGGAGGAACTGGCCTTGTACATATTTGCACATTCACCTAATGACCATTTAAGTTTCTTTGGGAAATCTGAACCACTTGAAGGGGTTTGAGAGGTTTCGAGGGGCTTCGAGCACTGCTAGAATCTCAAGACGTATCAAGCAGTGTTCGATAGGACCTTCGATGACCATATTCTAAATCTTTTAAAAGGAGGCTAAACATGTCAGCGGAGGCCCTATCGATCATATAGTTCTTCATTGCCACAAAATACTTGGCCTATCGATGACATATAGAATTTTCCAAAATTAACACAGAAATCACATAACCCAGAACATAAATTATACCACAAAATATGACACTGAAAAATTATACCACAAAATATGACACTGAAACTGAATATATATATATATATATATATATTATATAGAGAGAGAAAGAGAGAATTATACATACTTACAATGTCAATCTGACCAAAAAGCTTGGGATCAGAGACCAAGTCCTTCAACTTGGCAGTCCTGGGATGATGCAGCCACATGCTCCCATCCATGAACTGTACACCGTTGGATTCGCACGCTTCCAGTATCCGATCAAGCTCACCCACATCCAGAGCCGTTGGTTTTTCCAAAAGCAAATGCTTCTTCTTTCGAGCAGCCAACACAGACCAGTGCAGGTGAAGACTTGTGGGCAGGGGCATGTACACTGCATCTACACATGGATCGTCGAGCAGTTGATCGTAGCTCCCGTATATCTTGACGGCTCCGGAGAGTCCACTGTCGGCTGCGAATTTCTTTGCTTTGTCAATCGAACGGCTGGCGATAGCGTAGAGGGTGGCGTTGGGTGCGAGCTTTATGGCTCGCGCTACTTTTCTGGCTATGTCGGCGCATCCAGTGATGCCAAAACGTATCGCTGCTGGATTTTCTGCCATTTTTTTTTTCGATTTTTGACCTCTGAGAGTTGAGAGACTAGTGATATGAGGGTGGTGGTTGTTGCCTTTGTTTTAGTAGTGCCACTATTGTTGGTCGAAATTACTTTATAACCTTTACAATTTCATTTTCTTTTTATTTGATGTTCAAGAAAGTTCAGCGTCAATCCGAACACAACAAGATTATTAATCGAGTTAATTTTTCTAAATCGAATCTCATATGATTAAAACGCAATAATAACACGATAAACTTATTTGATTTTCGTATGATAAACTATTTGATTTTCGTAAGGACAAATTACCCATAAGAAATTGTCAGCTTATCTCATTTAGTAAGCGAGTTCAGTTTTCGTGGCATGTCCAAAAATGCAACTTCAATAATTTCTTAGCTTTTTTTTTTTTTTTTTTTTTTTTCTTTTTTTCCTTCCCTTTGTAATGATAGTGGCAAATTGTTCAAAATAGCACTCACGAGCCACTTAATTAGGAAAGTAACTTGCACGGAATGGATTCATTGTCATTGTGACGTTCAGGTCTAATAATATTTTACCATGTGAAGTAAAGATTACACATACTAATATATTATTGGATTGAAATACCACATAACAATGTGCCCATTCTATGTAAGTGTTTTTCATTACCCAAGACAATGATAGGGAGACTAAATGTGTAGACAAAATTTTGTAAACTAAATGACATGAAAGTTGATAGGTAAGAGTAATGTTAGGGAGACTAAATTTGAAGACAAAATTTGTAACCTAAATGATGTATCACCAATAAGAATGAGTACGTATATAAACGTTTAAGTAATAAACCAATCATCAACTTCCATGTCCTTCAGTTTTCTAAATTTTGTCTACAAATTTAGTCTCATTAGCATTACTTTTATATTATTATTTAAGCGTTGATAAATGTGCTTATTTCTATTAGTGACACATCATTTAGTTTGCATATTTTTTCTATAAATTTAGTCTCCTTAACATTTCCCCATTAACAAATTTACTAAAAATTTGTATTTGAGCTCGATAAAACTCAAAATTCGAAAGAATGACGTTCAATTCAACTGATTAGCATTGATAAATCTTTTTTTTTAAGTCCCACCACAATCAGAGAGATTTTCTGGTCTATAGGGAATACGACTTGATAAACAAGTGACTGGATAGTTAAAAAAATAATTTTAACTTTTATTATGATATTTTATGTATCGAGTTGTATTTTCGATGAAAAATAAATTTCCCACCACAGTCAAAAGAGTCTTCCAAGCATTTACAAGCTGACGTGGCTATAACTACCATAACAGAAACAAAATCTCTCTCTCATAAATAAATCCTCCCCTCCAAAACCTCAAGACTTCAAAACACAAAACATTCTTTCATTCCCTCTCTCTGTTTCTGCGACGGAGATCAACTATCCTGTCAATAATCCCAGTATCCTGATGAACCAGCTGGACCAAGACGCCGAAGAGCTTCTTGAATCTCCATTCCCCCTACCCATGGAGTCTCTACTCGCAACCATCATCCTCCTCCCCATAAACAGCCCCCTTGCCCAACAAAAACGAGAGCTCCTTCAACACTGCTCTTTCCAATTCACCGATGCCCTCTCCCTTAAGCTCTCCCAGGTCTCCAGCTCCTCCCACTACCCCCGAATCCGCCGCAAATCACTGAAACTCCTCCACAATCTACTCACCGACCCCGCCGTTCCCCAAATCTCCCTCATGATCCTCAACTGCCTCAAATCCCCGCTCTTGTCCAGTTTGCGACCCAAGACCGGACAACCCATGTCTCAAATTCTGCCCGAAATCGTCGCCGTTGTCGCTTCTCGAATCTTCAGCGGCTCCGACCAGCTGTGGGAAGAGCTCCTCGACTATGTTTACGTCTCCATTACCAGCTCCAACGTCACTCAAGAAGTCCAAGAAATGGGATTCATGGTACTCTGCAATCTTCCAGATAATCTTTTGAATCGGTTGATGCCGGGATTCGATTTTCTTTGGGCGAAAATCTTGCACCGTTTGCAATATTCCTCTGATTTGGATTCCTGGGCGGCGGCGATCCAGGCGGCGTCCAGATTTCTCAAGATTTTGCCGTATTTCTTGGGGGCCGACCGCCTTGGAATGGCCATGTCTACAGTGGTCAATTCGACACACAATTTGGCCACGACAGTTGACCCGAGAAGCGCAACGGTGGCTCAGAGGTTCCTCGAGTTTATAACCCAAATGGTGACTAAAACGCACCCGAGACTCTTGCTCAACCGATTAAACTACGTGTTGGAATCAATGCTGATGATCGCGGAGTCTGCGGTGGCCACGGTGATCAGAGAGGGCGCAATCAGAGTACTTAAAAAGATCGACGAATCGAACAGAAGGATTATGAGTCGTCAACTCGAAAGATTGGATCGTGTGAATTTGGATGGGTTTTTCTTCAGCCTGATGAGGGTGCTTGTGGGGGCTGCAAATGTCGAGAAAAACAAGAGCTCTGTTCTTGCGAAGTATTTTATAGACCGGCTTTCGACTATGCACGGAGGGAAGATTTTTGCGCGTCTTCTTCGGAATCAGATCCAAGTTTTTGCGGCGGCTCAGGAATGGCAGAAACGCCATGCAGGGCTTGTTACTATTTGTGCCACGGCTGATGCGTGTGAAGAGGTATATTTTGATTGGAGTATTTTACCATTTTTTATTATTTTTACAATTTTGTGAATTCGAAAAAGGAGATAATAAGTGTAGTAATATTCGTGATTTATTTTCTTCATTTGGTCTAGTGACATTTAATCTTAGATTTTTTAGAATATGTTCTAAATTCAGTTTTCATTGACGGAAGTTTATTGTAGTAAAATTTTCATTTATGGGAGTTTGTTGTAGACCATTTTCGTTGACGGGAGTTTGTTGTAGTTCAAATCTCATTAGCAGGGAGGAGTTTGTTAGAGGTCTGTAGTAAAAGGGCAATAATGGACACTGAAAAAGATTATTGGGCCTTGTCGCAAAGAATTTAGGGTTAGTTTATATAGTAGTGCTGTAACTATTTACACATTTATTTTTAACTTTCCCGTACTTTTAATTGATTGTTGTACTTTTTTTTTTTTTTTTTTTTTAAATCATTCGATGGTTCGGAAATTAGTTAAAAAAAGTATATGGATAGTCATATCAGTAAAAAAAAAAATTGCTGATTTTGTAAAAGCGTAGAATTGCCATTAAAAACTTAATTGGAAACTTGGAGTTCATCTTCTACATGCACCCAACAATTTGAGCACAGAACCCAGTGACGAACTTGTTGGAATAAAACACGAGGAATTTGGAAATTTTAGTCACCAGATCCACTCAACAACACCAATGGCGGTTCTGGGTCCAAATCCAATCGTACACCAATGGCGGTTCTGGTTCATCGAAAGTGGCAAGTAAGTTTTGATAATTAGTGTTACGAATGTTAGTTAGTGGCTTGCTGGGTTGCTTGGATTAGGAATTCCGGATTTTGGGTTCACAAATTTTGAATATTACTTGTTGTTTATTCTTCATGAGTGGAAATTTCAGAAATTTTGGATATTGCTATTTCTATATAAGAAAGTATAAAGATTTCCTTTTGTGTGTGTGTGTCTATGTATATATATACACACACACGCACACACATTTAACAAGTTCAAGAAGCTTGGATTTTAGAGAGAAGTGATTTAGCTACTAATTTGGCATATTTGGATTTTGGATTTATTTATTTTTCAGTTGATTCTGGTAAATGGTGATTGTGTTGTCACAGGTTATGGGAAACCATGTTGAGGAATTGGCAACAATAGTTCTGGATGGCCTAGAAGATCCTCACGATCGAGTTCGTTGTGCTGCCACCGATGCCATTAAGGCACTCAGTGTGAACTTAGCACCTACATTACATGAGCATTATCATCGCAGGATTCTACGTCTGCTAACTGGAATGCTTAAAGAAAAGAACGACACCATATGGGTAATAATATTTTCATTTTACCAATTTGTTGACACCTCTAGCTCTTTCGATTGATTTTATTCCCACATGTGTATGATTTACCATTGAAGCAATTCGTTTCTTCAGGGGAAAGCCATTCAAGCAATTCGTTTCTTCAGCAATGGCTGCACACCCGATAATTTAGAACCTTACTTGCCTCAGTTAGTGGAGGCACTGCTTGCACATCTTAAGGTATGAACTCAAATTTCATCAAATTGAATGAACTCCTTGTTCTTTATCCAGCAGAATCTGTTCAGAATGCTTATATCTAGTTTTCTTTGTCAGTTTTAACTTTCTGAGCTCTACTGATTTGTGCATATTCAGAACGGGAATACAGCTGTACAATGGGGGGTTTTGGCAGCTCTGGGAGGAGTTGCAACTTCGTCGGAGGTATTCATTGATATCTGTTTTAGCACAGCTGGCCGTTGTATTTTCTGATTTATTTTTTTTATTCTCGTTTAAAAACATTGGTCTAACCATGTTATATTTGTGCCAGCAGAACCGCTTTGATATTTACTATCGCCACACTATGGATGCCATTAAACTTATCTTGTTCGGTGTGGCTAATGCATCTACGAAATTGCTCCATGCCCATTGTCTGGAGTGCATTAGTTGTATTGCAAGTGTTGTTGGAAAGGATAACTTTGCAAACGATGCTAACGAGGTAATGGTTCCTTAGAATTTTCTTCTGTGACAGCAACTACTATGTATAGTTGACAATTATATTGCAGACGATTCTAGACACGTAATAACTAATCTGTATTCGTTTTGGAAAGAAAATTGTTCTATACAACCAACAGGTTGTTGCTCAACTATTATGTACTAACACTTGAAGGAAGTAGAATTTCTTTTACTGATAGACCTTTTGAATTGATAAAGTTTTTAATTTTTCAATGTATTCCGTGCAAGGTTATGGGAGTTCTTATCTCGCTGCTAGAATTTCTGCTGGAGACAGACCACATGGTAAAAGTTTCCATCTTCCAGGTAATTTTAATCTTATTTTATCCTGGAAATTATGCCAATCAAATATATGAGTTCCCCCTTTGGTATATACTTACGTTTTATCTTATTTTTGTTGCAGGTGTTGGCGAAACTCTGTAGGATCCTAGGGGAAGACTTTTTAATCTATGTCAACGATCTGATGCCTAGCTTGATTCAGTCTGCTCAGAATAAAATCAATAAAGAAGACAACCGAAGGTATAGAAATCACTTCTCAACTTATCTGCAGCAAGGAGAAGTGTTTATTGTTACCGAGATAAGACATCAAACTATACTAATATCTTAAAGTTCATGTCACAAGGGAGAAAGCTTTGGCCTGTAAATTGCTATTCTGCTTCACTAGCCAGTTTAAGGGAAAGTTCTTGCCTTGGATCAAACAGGTTGGTTGTAATTAATTGATGTGGATTTTTGTTAAACAAATATCTCAGCGGTGTTTGAGTGGGATTTGAAATCGTTCAGGTTACTCCGGTTTTGCGTCCACTTCTTCACTCAGATCTACATTTTGAAACTCGAATGCAAGCTATTTCAGGTACTAGTTTGAATTGCAGTTTGGGTTTCCTCTTTGGTTCAATGAGCTTTTCTCGTGACGGTTGTTACCTTGTCTATCTAGCCATGCCGGTCCTGTTGCGTTTAACTATATCTCAAGAAGTTATTTTGGAAGAGATCCAGGAGGAGCTTATCTACTTTATAACAGCATTAGTAAGAAACTTGAAGGTGAGTCTTCCAGTTGGAAATAATAATGTTGGGCAATATCATTTTCGGTTCATTATATTCTTTGTAGTTGATGTAATTAAATTTCAATCCACTATTACATCTCAGGAAAATGATGCAGAAATTTCTGCGAGAGTGTTAAATTCTCTAAAAGAGTGCATAAAGGTTTGTCATATTTTTACTTACAAAGATCTTTTCTCTTCCTCTTTATGCTGTGCCACCAGATTGCAGCTTACCATATATCATATATAGGCAATACTGAGGCTTTGGACTGATAGTCAGTGATGCAATTTTACAAGCATCGGATTTTCCTGTCACAGGTCTCTGGCCGCATTTTGACTAATATACATGTCAAGTTTGTTGTGGATGAGATACAGAAAATCCTGAACGAAAACTCTTCAGAAAACGAAATACAAGAAGCAGAAGGTTTTGAAATTGGACCGCAGGAAGAAACCCGTAATCGTGTATGTTTCAAAAGTTTCTTTTCTCTATTTATCTTTTGTTTTATTTTTTTCTTTCGAGTATTTCGTATGCTTTGTAAAAATTTAAACCGTCATTGTGTTACATACTCTACCTTTTTGTTATCTACACGAAAAACTAGTTAAGGAAGCAAACAGACAGGTAGAAAATTCACTTTTAAATTATGTTTCATAATGTTGAAATGGGTTTTCCATTATTGCCTGAAGCTTCTGGTTTCTCTTGTTATAAGGTTTCACGTTGCTTTCTAATGTTATACTAAATGCAGGGTGATGATCATAAAGTTAATGCAAAAATTGTTGTGTTTCTGTTCAACTATTTTGTGCAACAAAGCCAAGAACCTGCTTCTAAGTGAGTGCATTTTCCTCGATTATCCTGTGTCTTCTGTAGGGGTTTTTTTAATATACATATTTCATATTTGGTGGACAGATATTGTTCTACATTCCTTCCATTCCTCCTGAGAGCTTGCAAGGATCATGATCCATGTGTTAGACAGGTGATATTCGTCCTTGTCCTCACCATGGATATGGTACTCTCTAATGCTTCGATGAACTTATGTTTTGCTTTCTCATTGCAGCAAGCTGTACGCGGAATTGGTACTTGTGCAGAGTTTGGCGTTGATGAATTCAAACCTTTTGCTGAAGGTAGCTTCTTCTCATTCTCTTATTTTGCCAAGGGTTATAAATTATAGTCACTTTTGGTTAATGTGGGATCCCATGGACTTCCTTTAGAGGCTGCCAAAAGTCTGGATTCTGTGATTAGACATCCAGGCACGTCAAGCTCAAACAATCCAACGGCACATGTGATTGTCGTGTCATCCCTTGGGAGAATATGTGGGTCTTATTTCAAGAGTATTAATGCTCCTCAGGTAACTGTCTCCTCCATCTTTTCCCACAAATATGCTTTCCTTTTCACTCTTCGGACATAGTTTCAATTTCTCCTTTCCTTCTCTAGGACGCTACATAAATTACACGATGTTGTATGTTATCTCTTAAAATATTGCAAAGGCACATATTCTTTGGTTACATCATATATCAATGTATACGGGTACACATTATAGGGCACATTACTATATTGTGAAGAACAAGTTCAAAAATAAAGGACACCATTATACTTTTCTCAAAAGGAATATAGATCGTCGGGTATTCCATACGAAGAAACTTTAGCAGTAATGGTTGATGCGTCAAAATACTTGCTGCTATGGATACCAGAATGTAGGCTGTCCTTATCATCAGATTTTATTGTATCGTTTAGTTTGGCTGCTGATCTCGAGCAGCTATTATCAATCAAGTTTCGATGTTGCAACTGCAAAATGAAATTTGGGTCAAAAAATTTATTTCTTTGCGAAATATGAAAATATATTTAGCCGCATCATGAAAAGCTTATAGTAGCATCTCGACTAGTTGGACTATTTTAAGGGATAACAGTACAATGCTTTAGGATATCTGCATAGATTGTTGTTCTTCAAGCTGGTTGCTCCCACTATGAATTTATGGATTGATTCTCAAAATGTTGTTATTTGATTCTACTTGTCAGGTTGTTGGCAAATGGTTGGACTTCTTACCACTGAAAAATGACACCACTGAAGCCAAACTCGTACATGCACGACTTTCTGCAATGATTGAAGAGTAAGCAATTTTCGTTCTACACGTTGAACATGTAGATTGCTCCTAGTTCAACCATATCACTTCTTCTTTCAAGTTTCAAGTACACGTGATCATTGCTTCGTCCTTAACATGAAATTGAATTTAGTTTGCAAATTGTATTGAATTTCAGGTTTCACGACATTCTTTTGGGCGTTAACGGTCAATATAAGTCTAGGATTTTGGAGATCTTTGCTCAGGTAAACTCTTAGCGAGTCTTATGTCCTCTTTTCGGCTTATGAAAAGTCTATACAGAATGCCGTCACTGCTTCCTGTGATAAGATGCACAATTCGGGCTTTTCGTGATATATAAATATAATTTGTAGGTTGTAGCTGACGGTGATAATCTTGCAACAAGGATACTGTTAACAGGATGGTTGTTCAATTAGTCCAGTGTAGCAGGCCATGAACGCCTCTGCTGTACGTTCAGGTTCTACTTGGCATTACATCCACCCCGGCATTTTTCCTTTTCTTTCCAGGCTGTTCTACTTAACAGGATGGTTGGGATACTGAGATTTCTCTTGTAAAGTTGTGTGTTGTGAACTTGTAATATGTACAAGTCCCATTCTTTTGTACAGCGTCTTTTCTTCGGCATCAATCCCGTAATCTGGTTATTCAGTTTTCTGTACAGATGTCCTATAGAGTTTCGTTTGTTATGTTCTTGAGCTCTCGCTGAATGTAAAAAGAGGTGAGGTTAATGATATTGCACATTTTTAAAAAATACTCCCGTTTTCAGTATACATTTTACTGATTCGTTAAATCGCACATTTTTAAAACTTCTATATCATAGGCCACTCAGTACTATGGTCTAATTTTATTCTTCTTCATTTGGAAGTGAGAGATTTTAGATTTGAATCTCGTGGATAACAAATTCGATACTAAATTAGGCTGCCTATTATATGGCTAAGCTGAACTTTCCCTCATTTTAGTGTAAAAATATCATGTACTAAAAAATAAAAAAAAAAATACTCCCGTACCATACACGTACTTTTCACTAATAAACGTTATTTTACTCATTTTTTAATAATACATATTAACTACAAGTATCCTTTTCTATGTTTTTTTTACCCCACTTAATGGACTTGGTACACAAAAATCAAGCCCCGCCCAGAAATGGGCCAAGTCCAATATTAAGATATATAGTGTGGAAGCTAAACTTGTGGTCAGGGAAGGGCTGAAATGCCTTTATGAGTTTTCCCAGCCTTCGGAAAGAGTGAATGATCGTGGCTTGCTATCAGTTGTCTCTTTTTTTTTAAACAAAAAAATATTAAGATATATACAAACTCTGTTTCATCTCTTGTCACCGAATATAGGGTACTTTTGTTATGAAAAAAAGAGTTCAGTTTTAATGCTACATGTGTTTTGGCTCTTAAATTTGATTTTCACAACTATTTTTATTTTCAATTTATACATTTATTTTCTGTATAACTCAGTACTAAGTACAAATAAAGAAGCAGATGGAAAGCATTGAGGCCTATGCACCTTGGTGCGGGTTCGATTCCCTACGACTCGAGAGATTTTTCAATGTGATTGGTCCACAAGATGGTACACCACGTGTCATTATATAAATGATGGGATATGTGTGCTAAAAAGTTAATAACTTAAAAAATAAAATTTCTCACCACTCCTATTAAAACACGCAGTGTACTACTTATGTTCCTGTCACAACTAAAATTTTTTCCTACAACTCCCCTTCTCCCTCCTAATAAATTTCTAACCTACCAACGCTATTGCTTTACTCAAAAAAAAAAAAAAAGTACAAATAAAGAAAAACTATGAAAAATATATTAGGCCCTTCCTTAAAAAGGAAAACAAATGAAAAGGGCTTGAAAACTTTGAGTTTTAACGATAAGGACAAAATAAAGGGTAAAGTGAATAGTACCACGTGTCATTATACAAATGGTGGGATATGTGTGCTAAAAAGTTAATAACTTAAAAAATAAAATTTCTCACCACTCCTATTAAAACACGTGGTGTACTACTTGTGTTCTCGTCACAACTAAAATTTTTTCCTACAACTCCCCTTCTCCCTCCTAATAAATTTCTAACCTACTAACGCTATTGCTCTACTCAAAAAAAAAAAAAAAAAAAAAAAAAAAAGTACAAATAAAGAAAAACTATGAAAAATATATTAGGCCCTTCCTTAAAAAGAAAAACAAATAAAAAGAGCTTAAAAACTTTGAGTTTTAACGATAAGGACAAATTAAAGGGTAAAGTGAATAGTACCAGGTTTGATTTTTTAGTGTAAAAATATGATTTTTCGTTAAAATAAACAGTACCGCGGACTTTTCATCAAAACTTCCTTATTAATAAGTAGTAGCATATGCCCGATTTTTCTTCGGTACAGTATTTTCTTAATTTAAAATAAATATGATAAATGAAGGGCAATGGCAGGTAACAGGTCACAACATTTTCTTATTGACCTTATAAATATGAGGTGTCACATTTGGATTGGAAGGAAAAAAAAAAGAATTTTATTGAGGTGGTCACGACTCACGTGGGATTCCGACTCTTCTTCCAGTTTCTAACTTGTTCTGCTATTCCATCAGCTCCACAACACGAAGCAGGGAGTTGGAGTTCCAAATGTCAAACAGGAACCCAAGAGGCTATTAAAGCCCGTGATCGGTTTCACGATCGGCGATGCAGATGTGACTGTTCAAAAATCTGCCCTTTTGCTCCGTCATATTCGAAAACATTCGACTTTCGAATCCCATCTGCTGATTTCCTGAGATTTCATTGTTTGAGCAATATATAATACTCTACAACAGGTCAATACGTCACTCAACCGCAGCCGCATGATCAAATCAGACGATGATAAAACGTTTTGTTTTCATGCAGGGACAGAGTTAGAAACTTTCTTTATTAGAGGCTGACCATAACTCCTACTTGAATTTTTTTTTTTTTTTTTTTTGTACGATAGTAAATATATTATATAATTTCATGCCTTCTTTTCTTCTCAAATTTCATTAAGCCACAATTTGAAGGTATTTTTTTTTTTCGCAATGAGCACTTATTTATTATACCTATTTTTTTGAAAATAACAACGGATCAATTAAAGTACTTAAATATGATAAATCTAAATAATATACATCTTTTACGTTATAATTTTTTTAAAAGAGCATGAATAATATGGTAAATATATTCTATGCTTCTTTTGTAAGCATTCCTCAATTTCCTCTACACACAAATTTGGGGGAGGCATCTGCCCCCAATGGACCGTAACTGCTTCCGTCCTTGTATTCATGCGGAGTTGTATCCAAGAAATATTGATAAATGCTGCTGTGACAGTAGGGTCAAGTAGTTTGTTTATGGACAAATGTCTCTCTCTTAACAAGGTATGATGTGAAAGCTCAGTCACACATCCCACATTAATGCCCCTAATCCTATTCCCGTCTACTCCTTCCCACACAAAATTTACAGCCCTCATTTTCACACCCACCTACTTACTAGGTCCAAGTCCAACCAAGCCAGCTAAAACACAAAAGAACTTGAAAAATCTTTACAACCAATTTAAAACGATAGATGTTTCCATCAAAATATGAATCCATACAATACGTATCATAATATAAGACCGTCTTTTCAAATTTTACACATAAAATTTAAATTTAAAAGCTTATGTGGCATTTTAAATTTTTTTTTAATTTTGTTTTATGTCTGATATGTCAAATTTAAACTATTATTTATTACATTATTTACTTTCCCTAATTGTATAAGTATTTTTTTAAACAAAACGTAAGATAAAAATTATGCAAAGCCATTTATTAATTACTAAAAATATATTCGAAGCTGCTGTTAAGTTTGACAACAACCTTTTTTAATGCCATTTTATGTTATGGCATATAAGAATTGGTATTTCGATTAAAAAACACTAATACTACCTTTATTTTTATTGTTATTGTTGATGTAAACTATTTGACTACTCCTTTAAAAATGTCCTAAATGGAAAGAGAATATATTTTATAGTATCTCTTTATGTTTGCTATGACATATGATGTAACGACTTGCGTTACGAATGGAGTAAAAAATCTCATAAAAAACAAGGTAAAAAGAAAAGTCTTCAGTATAGTTACTATTCCCACTAGTACTTGAGAGAAAGATCTGACACACATGCATATATCCATGCATGAAAACATGCCTTATTATATGGTCATGATCGTTTCATGATACAGAGACTTTCTTTCTTTTCACTTTTTTGTCTTTTTTGTGTCAGGAAAAAAAAAAGAAAAAAAGAGAGAAAGTAAAAGTTGAAAGAGCTAGCTCTGAAAATTAATTTTATTATTATTTTTGAAAATATTTACTTTTGATTTATGTCAAAGGATGATCAATCATAAAGCAATCGATTACAAAATCATGTCATGACCTCTCACTTTCATATTGGACCATCTTTTCTGCTCTGCCCAAAAAGTCCTCCTCTGCTCCTTCTGCCGCTTCGCATTTATTACCTCTTTTTCGAAGAATGGGCCTTCGTTGCTACCAGGCAATTGGCAATGACAATGGCAAATGGCAATAGCATTCCCTCCCCTCTCTCTGCCTTATTTATTCATTCATTCATCAGTCAACTTCGTAAACACAGAATGTTGAAAGAAACATTTCTTACCAATTTAATTACAGAATTGTTAAGTTTATTATTGAGATTTAAATTCTAAGTTTCTGAATTACTTCACCAAAAAGAAGAAGAAAGTTTTAACGAAACACTTCCGGTATTATTTACTTTTAACGTAAAAGATATTTTTATACTAAAAAGTCAATCATGTTACTATTCACTTACAACACATTTTTGTCATTTTGATTAAAATTTAAAGTTTTCAAACATTTTTTATTAGTTTTCCTAAAAGGAAGGAGATAAATGCTAATAGAATCTATCACCTAACAGTTTAATAACAATTTTCGTGTTAACATTATTATGTTAAAAATATGAGATGCGAGAAAGTCCATAAAAGTCTCACTCTTGAGATAACTCCCTTGGCATTTCCCAAGAAAAGGAATCCTAATTTTTATGCAACTTGGGTTGTCTATGCTTATACAACCCATAACTTTATTAGAGGAATGCTCAACAAACTATAATTTTGCATGTAGGTTTTTTACTGAAAATGATAAATACACACCTTTTGTTCTACTTCTCTCACACATTCATATTTATTATGTGTGTTGTCTTCGTTTGATTTACTCAATTAGATGACCAAAAACAAAGAGAAATGTGCTAAAAGCTAATCTTTTTAGAGATAAACGAAATACAAGAGTTAGAGGCAAAAACCTGTGTTACAACCACCACTAAGTAGTCAAAAATGAAGGCATGCCTAGCAGCTGTAGGGATAGTACGATCTCAAATATACTTTTATTCTAAATTATGTGTGAGAAGCTAAATATGATGAGTAAAAATCAGCTTTCTTACACTAAATTGGTATCGAGCTCGCCATCTACGAGATTTATATTTAATATGAATATCATTAGACTGTAGTACTAAGCGGCAACAACTTTCTGTAGTTAAGAACAAAATAAATCTAATTTTTAATTACTTTTCCGTAAGAATAAACCACCTAACTTTGTATTTGGGAATTTTTTTTATGCATAAAACAATGCCCAGAATACAAAGCAACTTTAAATGGCTTGACAACTATAATGGACAGAAATTGCCTTCTAATATAATTGAAGGTCTCAAAGGGCTGACCTACATCCCATGTAAGTTTCTCTTGATACTTCCTTCCTCCTGGTACGTATATCCTTATATTTTAGTCACAGGTA